TTCTCAGTGTACATTTACTCTAAAGCACTTAAAATTAAATAAACCTGCAATTTTTCTAAAAGTCTCACAGCAACTTTAGTTTTCAAACGCTTTTTAAGCAGTTCTATATACCAGAAATTCGCTATTTAAAACAGTCACTCATAAACCTGGCACTATGAACTAAAAGAAACTTTTTGCATGAAACATGAGTTTTGGGAACAGCGGCAGGCCACATGTAGCGATTTTAAACACAGAGGAGGCTTCGGTTGAACCGAGATTCATTTCCGGGGTCACGTGACTTCATAGACACGTGAGCAACGGGGTGGGTTTTACAATCTGACATCAGAGGGAGTGAACGCAGACACGTCACCCGTTTCTCAGCGAATCAGAGCGACCCAAACAGCGGTTTTCAACCAATCACAGCTCGTGATTCCAGCTAGCAGTGTTAGCAGTTAGCCTGAAAAAGTCTGGTCAACTCGCTCATAAAACTTCAAACATGCACAATTTACTGCTACAAATGTAACAAATCAGCATTTTTGTGGTCCGAGACGGCGCTCAGCTTCAAAACAGCGTTTTATCCATTCAAAACACGACTCGTTCAACGAGTCCAGTGACAGAACCGGGTCAGACAGAACCCCCTTCTCTGCTACAGTTTAAACAGAAGAAGCGTTTTACCACAGCATGCCAGCTTTAGTTACACAACAGATGTACAAATTTTAGCTTTAAAATGAACACATTGACATCACTTTCAGCTCTCTGAACACCACAAGCAGAATCATGCTGTATCAAGCTCAAAGCTTAGACTTTTCATGCCAACACTCAGCGTACATCTCAATGACACAGACTCTGTCACATTTAATTCACACCTCTTTAAACATTCGTACGGCCAAAAAATGTCCAAACAGGCGGATAGCGGGTCACGAGAAGCTCTTTAGAGACCCGTCTGGGCCACCAGATATGTAGTGAGATAGGGCTAGGTTAGATTCAGTTAGCTTAAGAGCTCCACTACAATCAATATTTAATAACGGGTTCTCACTTTTTCGAGCTACTAGACAGATATGTGACAGAGGTACTGTGTTGGAGATGGTCTAATCAGTGACATGAGACGTTAATTTTCTTTGACCCATCAAAATGAATGTGGTCATTTACTAACAGAATCAAAATTTAACATCAAAACATTGTACACTTGATTATGCTATCAGCTCTGATTAATAAAACTTGGCACGTTTTACTTAATAAAAACAACAGACATTTCTGAAGATATCTGGATTAATTACTGGCAAGATAGAAGAGTTTTAAAGATGGAAATGAAGGAGTTTAAATGGAAGGAAAAGATGGATGAGGGAAAGTGTGTTGACTAGGGGTGCACCGATAAATCGGCCGGCCGATCGATCGGCCCCGATTTCCTTAATTTGGGGAGATCGGCGATCGGCCGATCTTTAAATGAGAAGCCGATTTTATCCACCGATCTTATCTGCCTCCGGAAAGGTCTGAAAATCAGCTGCTGTCCCCTTTTGCTCCATTGTGAGAGCTCACACACAGGTCACTCGGAGCAGCCATGTCGTCGGTTTGGAAGTTCTACGCTGTAAAAGAAAATGAGCCAAAGATCGCAATTTGCAATTCGTGTAAAGCCGAAGTAAGTCGTGGTGGAGCCACCACCAAAACCTTTAATACAACAAACCTCGTTCGCCATTTAAGAAATCACCACGCCGCCAAGTATGCAATGTTTGAAGAGAGCAACCATGCTAAGGCTAATGCTAAAGCTAGCACTAACAAAGAGGCAGTCGGTGGGTCGCTGTTAGCTTTTATGAGCAACGAAAAGAGCAAAGCTACCACGAGGAAAGTGATGGAGTTCATGGCATTAGACAACCAGCCATTTTCAGTCGTTGAGGACAAAGGTTTTAGAAGCTTGATGCAGCACGTGTGCCCACGATATAATATGCCGAGTCGGAAATATTTTTCTGATGTTGCATTACCGGAGTTGTTCAGCCAAGTTTCGAGAGACACCCGCAGCCTGCTAAAAGCTAATACAAATACACTCAGCTTTACAACAGACATCTGGACTTCTGATGTAAGTTTAATGTCCATGTTAAGTTTTACTGCACAGTGGATTGACGAACAGTTCGAACGTCATCAAGTACTCTTAAACTGTAAAGAAATGGCGGGGTCTCACACTGCGGCCAATTTATCAGCAGAGTTTAAGGCGATGCTGAATCACTGGGAAATCGATAATGGAAGAGTTCACGTTGTTTTACGGGATAATTCTCGTAATATGGCCAAAGCGCGGGATGATATCAACCTGAAAAGTTTACCCTGCCTGGCACACACACTGCAACTGGTTGTAAATGAGGGACAGCTGGCGCAGCGCAGCATCACAGACATGGTGGCAACAGGAAGGAGAATTGTTGGACATTTTAAGCATTCATCACTTGCCTATTCCCGACTTTATGACATACAGACACAGTTAGGTCAACCCAGGAAACGATTACAGCAAGACGTTTCAACGAGGTGGAGCAGCACAGTCTACATGCTGCAGTCGCTGTTGGAGCAGAGACGTGCTACTGGCGTGTATGCTGCTGAGCATGAGTTACCAGCCACACTCACAGCACACCAGTGGGAGCTACTGGACAATGTGCTCACCATTCTTGCACCTTTTGAGGAACTCACAAAGGAGATTAGCTCATCAACAGCTACAGCAGCAGATGTCATCCCAGCCATCACTGCACTCAAGCGGATTTTGGAGAGGCAAGCGAGCAGACTGTGGCGTGGGTACAGCCAAAGCTACGCTGCTGGAGGCTGTTGTGAGAAGATTCAGCAACATTGAACATGAGCCCCTGTACAGCTTGGCCACTGTTCTGGATCCAAGGCAAGTAACTATTAACATTCTATTTTAGCCATAATTACTTTTAGCCTACTACTATATTTCAACAAACATTTAAATTAAATTAAAAATAAAAATTTCTTGATTGAAATGCATTTCTTTATTTACATGCAAGTCATAAAAACTGTTAATGTATACAAAACACAATGATTGACCCCTCTTTCTTTGTTTATGCAAAACAAGGTACAAGAATGGCTACTTCTCAGCAGAGGTGAAAGATGACGTGAAACTGCTCCTTTTGACCAAACTTGCAGAGGGGGAGACCAGATGCACACCTGCTGCAGGAACATCCTCTGAAGTGGGACCTCCTGATATCGATGAACCTGCAGCCAAAAGGCGTAGTCTACTGTTTGCAGCTCACGACGAAATCTTGAAGGAGAACATTGAACAGGAGCAACAGCTGGCCAGCCCTTCAGCTATGCAGGTACAGAACTACCTATCTGAGGTTCCTGTCCAAAGGAGCCAGGACCCATTGGTCTACTGGAAGATCAATGAAAATCGTTTCCGTCATCTTGCTCTACTTGCCCGAACCTATCTCTCTGCCCCATGCACAAGCGTTGAAAGCGAGCGCCTGTTTGGCTTGGCTGGACATGTAGTAGATGAGAAAAGAAGTTGCCTGTCTGGTGACAAAGCAGAAATGCTTTTGTTCATCAAGAAAAACCTGCCACTAATGAAAGTGACTGGAATAAGTCTGTGAGAACAAACTTACCTGTGCCAGTGTTAGTTCTTATTACCCACTGACTTGAAAATGTTACACTTGTTGCATTATCTTTTTAAGTTTTTTTTTTTTAAATGTAACAAGTGAAAGAGTTGAAGGAACCGAACATTTTTTTTTTTAGTTAATTTTATAGTTTTAACAAAAATTGTGTAAACTTCATTTATATTTCAGAATACTACCTCATGACAAGTTAAAACAACAAGTTTGTATTGTTTCTAGGGTATTTTTCAAGGGTATGTTTTACAATAAAATAAGATTGGTAAATTGAAGGTGCATTGTGATCTTGTAACACCTGACACTGTTGCTTATAAAAAAAAAATCGGTATCGGCCAAAATCGGAATCGGCAGTTCAGACTTTAAAAAAATCGGTGATCGGCCTGAAAATTGAAATCGGTGCACCCCTAGTGTTGACGAGGAACAGCACCCTCCATCCGACCCCAGCTCAGCCTCGGTACACTCGGTAGTGAAGCGACTCATTACCTTTGCAGAAGATAGGTCAGCTCCGGTACGGAGTTCCATTTCAACGCTACCTTTCAGCGTCTCCTTAGGATAGCTGAGAATCGTCTGAAGTAGTGACGGTACTCCGTTCAACAACACGCTCACCTCCCGGGTGGACTCATATGAGCTGTGAGTCCGTCAACGGTTCCACTCAGATGTAGTCATTCCATAATCCCAACTAGACTCGGAAGAACTTCCAGCACTTCCAAACTTTCGGAACTTCTGTTCTCAACTTTTAAAGAGTTCTGCTTCCGGTCACTTTTGGGAAGTCCTGATTGGTTGAAAGAACCAACAGGGGTGTGGTTTTAGTGACGTCAGAGGGTCATTACAAGTCAGAAAAACAGCGGAGATGTTTAGGAACAGACAGAGAAATGTTTTGGAGAAATGACAGACTTACAGGTGCCAGTTTTCTTGTTTCTGTCTGAGAGGATTTAAAAACATGACAGTTCGTTCCAATAAACTTGTTTGCTACTGTCTCCGACTTTTGACCGACATCACTCTCTCATTTCAGACAGAAGATCAAAAATGCATAATTACTTTGTAAATAGACATTTAACTTGATTTCTACTTTGAATGAGGATTAAAAATCATTAATACTGTTTCACAGTTGATTTAAAATGAGTGGTTCACTTCAACATTTAAAATGGTATGAACTAAACACACTTTTGATTATCAAGACATTGTAAAATAGTAATGATAATATGAAAAAGAGAGTGTTCTTTCAATTGATTAGTTCAGGATACAATTAGAAAGTCTCTGGATGAGCTAATTTGTATTTCTGGATTCAAATCAATGAAATAACAGTTCCTGTACCATGAAAGTCTTCAGAGGCAGGTCTTGACCGGACGCTTAGTTCACTACACACTGTTCAATGGACACCACGTTGTAGTCGAAGAATTAAGGTAGTACAAAGCAGGGTCTCACCATCTCCAGGTTTTGTCTCAGCCCCAAGACCACCCAGCACCCTGTAGGCATCAGCATGAACAGCATCCACCCTCACAGCGTAGATCTTTGTGCTGGCATCCAGAGTGCCAGCAGCCACCTTACAAACACACATGATACAAATAACTTGTTTACTTTTCTACATTGCTTTACAATCTAGTCGTTTTATTTTTTTAATACCATTTTCTTTCATTTGTTTTCTCAATTTATAAGCTTTCTTTTATGATTGTCTACTGTTGTCTTTGTTGTCATGAACCTTTGTTCAAGTCAGGTGTGTCTTGTAAATGAGTCCCTGAGGCTCAGCGGGACTACCCTGTAGAAATAAAGGTTGAATGAACTTACTTTGAGTTCTAGAAGACAGAGGTTCTTGAACATTTTTGGGTTCAGGGACCACTTATAGGGGGGAAAAAGTTTCAGGGAACACCTCATAACCCTCATGTTTATTTAAATCAGTGTTTTCCCTACCATTATACAAGCGGGGCGCGCCGCCCTGTCAACAGAACCGAGTGCCCCGTCTACCAACCCCTCACTACGTGTGCAGAAAAAAAAAAAATATATATATATATATATATATTTTTTTAAAAATCTACATTCTTAGTCCTGGCAATTCTGAATCGATTCTTAAGGTCCATTAATAGATCAAAAATGCATTTGTTTTTTTCCACTCCTACCCCCGAGCGTACAGTATATCGCATTACATGTCCGTTCAGCCGCAAAAAAATTCTGGCTTTTGTAGGCCACCGTACAGCAAGCTAGTTAGCCAGTTACCTTTATCTGAATGGAGCCTGCTAGCATGGAGGAGGGAGACAGCGCGATTCAACCATACCATACCATTTTATTTATGGAGCACTTAAAACAGCTACAAAGCCAACCAAAGTGCTGTACAGACAGAACAACAGGTAACACACAAAGCAAAATACAAAATGAGGTAAATCAGAATATAGACATAAAAACGATGCAGTTAATGACGACTAACAAGTGTGGAGCATACAGGATCAAAACACAGATCATCTGGTGTTGAAAGCTGCTGAATAGTAGTGAGTTTTTAAACGGGACTTGAAAACCGAGAGGGAGGGGGCCTGTCTGACAAGCAGAGGTAACTCGTTCCAAAGTCTTGGTCCTGCTACAGAGAAGGCCCTGTCACCTCTGCACTTAAGACGAGATCCTGGAACTGTGAGGAGCAACTGGTCCGCTGACCTCAAGTAACGCGGTGGGACATACAGTTCTAGCAGATCAGAGAGATGGGGGGCAAAACTGTTCAGTGATTTGTAGACATACAGGAGTATTTTGAACTGGATTCGAAAGTGAACCGGTAACCAGTACAGTGAGGCCAGAACTGGTGTAATGTGCTCTCTTTTGCCTGTACTGGTCAACCTGCTCCTTCGTCTTTAAAAATCATTTCAGATCTAAAAAAAAGTTAAATCTGGTCCTCTGGACATTCAAAAAACAAAACAACAACAAAAATATAGAAACATTTCGTCTTTCATCCGAAAGACTTCCTCAGTCTGATGGTCCTTCTTGAGCATGTAAGCAGCTGGTTCTGGTTGTCAGCAGCAAACTGGTTGATCCACTCTGAGAAGGTGCTATTTAAGAGACTGAGCTGAAAACAGCACCTCAGACTGAGGAAGTCTTTTGGATGGAAGAAGAAATGTTTCTACATTGTTTTGCTTTGTTTTTTGAATGTCCAGAGGACCAGATTTAATTTTTTTAGATTTTTCTACCTGGATTATTGAGCATGCATCAGGATATCATTTCAGATCCTACAATGTTCTGGGGGAAGACAGAGCTTCACAAGAGCACAGTTGTTTACAAGAAGTGGAAAATAAAATTGAGGTACACTATTTTGGAAATACGACAAAATGTGCGGAAGATGAAAGCGAAGCAGCCGACCAAAGAACTCTGCAACAAACTTCCAGCTGATTCTCCAAAGGCTGTGAAGAGTTCCCTCTCCATCACTTGCAGAAAGGATTTACGAGCAGACAGTCGAAGGCGAGGGGTTCAGGTTTATTTTGAATACGCTCGACCCAACGTACGTTATTACTTCATGTAGATTTTTTTAAGCAATAAAGCAGCTCCACAACTTCACCATGAAACAACAAATGGGAGAAGCTCTGATGCAGCTGCAGCTCAAAGGTAACTGTTATTTCTCATATTAATCTAAAACTTATTGACAAGTTGTTCAACAAACTTCATGTAATTTGTCTTTTTAACATGTTGAAGAGATGAGACACATCACCTGGAGCCAGTTCTAAATGATACAGTTTATGGTTTATAAATTATAGTTCAGATGTTTTTGTGCAAACTTGCACAGGTTTTTAAATTTTGTTAAAAGATTTACTAAATAGTCCAGGGACCTTTCTGGGTGGAGTTTGCATGTTCTCTCCGTGCATGCGTGGGTTTTCTCCGGGTACTCCGGTTTCCTCCCACAGACCAAAAACATGCATGTTAGGCTGATTGGAAACTCTAAATTGTCCCTAGGTGTGAGAGAGAGAGAGAGAGAGAGTGAATGGTTGTTTGTCTCGTTTGTCTCTATGTGTCCCTGTGATGGACTGGAGACCTGTCCAGGGTGTCCCCCGCCCCTCGCACATTGATTGCTGGACATGGGCACCAGCGACCCCCGTGACCCAAAATGGAATAAGCGGGTAAAGATAATGGATGGATGGATGGATTTACTAAATATGAATCAATATGGTTAAGACTGAAGTCTGTATATTTCATATTAGGTTAAGTTTTGAAAATATAACAAATGTTAGAGCAATGTGGTTAAAATAACTGAAGTCTGTATTTCATGTTGAGTTAAAGGTTAATATACTATGGTAGGCTGAAGTCTGTTTACTTTTATATTTATATATTTTGAATTATTTGTCTGTGATGGACTGGAGACCTGTCCAGGTGTCCCCCGCCTCTCACACAGTGATGGCTGATGTGGGCACCAGTGACACGGACGGATAATTTGTTCCTAGATTTTTTTTATTTTATTTTTTTTAGAAAAATCCAGGCAACTAAGCTAACGTAATACTGGTAATTTAAGTTACAGAATTTTATGCACTCCTATAGTTTGTTCCTATTTTTGGTATAAATTTAAAATGAATAAAAAATATTTGATACAGTAAAGAACCTAAAATTATTGTTTTAAACAAATGTTCTATTTGTTGACGTTGTTGTTTAATCTTTTCAGCTTGTCAGTTACATAATTGAAACTAAATTTATGACCATTTCAATAGAAAAATTGTTTCTGAATCGAAAAATCAATTTTGAATTGAATCGTGACATCAAAAATCGGAATCAAATCAATTTGCCAGACAGAGATTCACAGCCCAACCCCCTGTCAACACTGACGTACGTAACGCTAGCGGCTCACAATGCAGGTGCACAAGCTAAAAGCTAAAGGCGGTCTTTTCCCTCATGCTGAACCCCCGGCCCACTCGAAAACTGTTGGTACGAGCAGCGCATGGCTCAGATGTGTCTGTCTCCACCCCCCACCAAAAGAACTGTCAGTGCAAACAGCGCGTGGCTGTGTCTTTGTCCCCCCTCCCTCTAAAACTGTCAGTATAAAGAGCGCACTGCAAAGCTCAGGATATGCCTCTGTCCATAGACCTCCCCCCGCCCGGACAAAAAAAAATCAGGGGAGATGAGCGCCCCGCAATGACAAGTTATCTAGGAGGAACCCTGAAAATATTTTCTTTTATTTGTGTGTAATGCAGTGGAAACGTGTGTAACATAAATACTTGAGATGTGTTCTCTTTTCATTCAAGACACAAGAACATGTTTTATTTCTACTTCCAGAACAGTTTTGAGGAAATGATCAGTTTCATAAACCACTTTGAAACTTTATCTATTCACATAATGAACATAATAAATATATCAACACTAATTCAAATTATTACAGAAAACTCTTTAGATAAAACTGAACAGAACCATAACAGCACTAGTCATACCAAGTAAAAGGTTCATTTGTAAACCAATTGATGATGGAATGGAAATAGCAGGGGGGGGGGTCCCTCCCCCAGAAATTTTTGAATAAAGTAGATGTGATTTCCTGCACTTTACTGTATTTTAACGGGTTGTTAAACATCTTTCTGCTTGTAAAAAACTTTTTTTTGCAGATCCCCAAACACCAGCTCACAAACCACCAGGGACCCCAGTTTGAGTAAGATATATTATGCGTTGAGAAAAAAACATGTTTTATACCATTGTTCATGCGTGCTCACACACACTCGTGTTCGTGCTGCTGTTGGGCCTATTGTTTTCATGCTACTAGTGTTGAGCATATTTTTAGTTAACGTTTTTCTTAGTTAATATCTTAGATCTTATCACCGTTTTTATTTTACATTTTATACTTTTGTTGGATGTAACTGGGACCCTGTGTACACCGTTTTGTTCCACCACATGTACCACATGTGGTGCGTATGACAAATAAAGAACCTATGACTCTGATTAAAACTATGAACCCACAATTTATTTACACGTTATCGTTTTCTTATAGAGGCGTCACATGTTCTCATTCCTTGGACCTTCATTTCTACTGGTTGGTCTCACGGAGCCCCTCCCTGGCCTGCCACCTTACCGTGGTGGAGGGGTTTGAGTGTCCCAATGATCCTAGGAGCTATGCTGTCAGGGGCTTTACGCCCCTAGTAGGGTCACCCATGGCAGACAGGTCCAAGGTGAGGGACCAGACAAAGTGCAGCCCAAAGACCACGATGAAGAGAAAAATAAATGGACTTAATGTTCTCTTGCCCGGACGTGGGTCACCGGGGCCCCACTCTGGAGCCAGGCCTGGAGGTGGGGCACGCGAGCGAGTGCCTGGTGGCTGGGCTTTTACCCATGGAGCTCGGCCGGGCACAGCCCGAAGAGGAGACGTGGGTCCCCCTTCGCATGGGCTCACCACCGTGGGAGGGGCCAAAGGGGTCGGGTGCAATGTGGGATGGGTGATGGGCGAGGGCGGGGACCCTGGCGGTCTGATCCTCGGCTACAGAAGCTGGCTATTGGGACGTGGAATGTCACCTCACAGGTGGGGAAGGAGCCTGAGCTGGTGTGTGAGGCTGAGAGGTTCCAGCTAGAAATAGTTGGAATCACATCTATGCATGGTTCTGGAACCAG